ATAGTTCCCTGGTCAGTCCGCTTGGTGCTCTTCTCTGCTTCAAATCTGACGAACATTTTAACAAAAGTTTTGTTATTTATTTATCAAGACAATTTAAAATTTGAAGTACACCCTGAAGTCTGTGATTTTGACACAGTTTGAAAAAGATTTTTACGAAGAGTAAATCTTTCCCACTAAATTGGTCATGTGACCAGGACATTAGGGTGTCCAGGGACTCCAGGGGATTAATCGTCAAATTAATCGTTGTCGGCTAAATACCACAATTAATCGTGATTAATTGTATTGCCAATATCGCCCAACCCTAGACCCTAACAAAATCTTTGATATCATCTTCCAGGCTTTACAACCTGATCATACTTATTCATCTGCCAAAAAACACAAGTTAGATGTTTAAATAACATCTTCAAACTCACAAATATATTTATTAATTATCAGCCAATAAACTCTAATCCCGTGTTTTTCTGTTRTTATCTTTATAACTTTACTCTTTTGTGAGCCAAGACTTAGTTTGATGTTTACAGTTGGTCCAAAACACAAGAATAWTCACTCTAGTTCTTCTGTTTAACCACAAATCATGCATCTTTAAAGTAAAGAGTTAAATCTGCAATTGTTCATTTTAAATCGAGCTTGTCAGAGAAAAAGTTCCCGTTTCCTCTCAATCTTTAGGCTTTCTTATCAAGAAAACCTAAAGCAAGAATAATGACAAACTAACTTTTAAGTGAATAAATGAATTCTCAAATAAAGACCTTCGTCTGATTGTTAGTATTTTAATTTTTCATTATATTTTAACACGTTTGTTGCTTCCAGTTTTTTAATCCCATTTAAATGCATTATATGAAAAACAGTTTCTAAGTTAGCTCTTAAAACGTGCTATATAAACAAATACATTAATATACAGTGTCTAAAACACTGAGGAGCATTCAACACAATGAATGCGCTACCTAGCAAGCAAGCGACGTGTGTCTAGTTGTTGCTAACAAGTTAGCTTGAGTCTAACATTAACAATAACAGTTTCTCGCCCTTTTTTCCCAACACAACTTTGTGTATCTTACACTTACAAAAAATAAACAAAACACCGAAATATCTGAGACGCAATATGAATATAAYTAAAACAAATATTTACCAGTTGAGATAGTTGCTAACAACACCTACTATGGTCGATCAACACGTGTGACCACACATTGTCGTAAAGCGTTCAAGATTGTCGGGAAGTGTCGTAAACTCCCCTAACGGACGCAAATAGACTTCTTTTTCCTTTCTTCTTTATTTTTCAGACGAATCTTGTCGAACGCAAACAGTAAGTATGACTCTGCTAA